CCTTATCGACAAACACAGTTACATCCTGAGGTACTTCAGGTTTAGGACTTCAACAAATGAATTTGAGGAGGACACAGACCAGCCCAGAACAGCACTTTAAAGAAGAAACTGGCTAACTGCAGTGGCACACACCTGTAATCCCAGCAACCTGGGAGACTGAGACAGAAGGATCAAAAGTTTGAGATCAGCTTGGGCAATTTAGCCAGATCTTGTCTGTCTCAAAGTTTTAAAATGGGCTGAAGATGTGACTCAGTGGTAGAGCATTTACCTAGCGTGCTTGAGGCCCTGGGTTCATTCTCTGGTGCCACCCCCAAAAGAAGGAGGAGGAGAAGGTGGAAGGGGGATGGGGGAGGGGAGGAGGAGGAGGAGGAGAAGGAGAAGGAGAAGAAGAAACTGAGGCTCAGAGAAATACATTACGTCCAAAGTCATGCCACAGGTCAAGGGATGAGATTCCCATGTCTCAACAGAGCCCTTCTTAGCAGCAGCAGAGACTGATAATGCACAAGAGACCAGAGAAGGGGAGTCTGATAGTTGCATTTTGAGCTTTAATTTCACTGCTTCCGGGAAGTTGGATAAATGCCCTAAGCTTCCCAGGCCTCAGTTTCCTTTTCTGAAAAAATGGGCAATAAAGGGCTTTTCCTTGGCCCGGAGGGGTGGCCGATGCCTGTAATCCCAGTGGCTTGGGAGGTTGGGCAATTTAGAAAGATCCTGTCTTGCCTGGTGCAGTGGTGCATGCCTGTAATCCCAACAGCTCAGGAGGCTGAGACTGGAGAACCGCAAGTTTAAAGCCAGCCTTGGCAACTTAGCAAGGCTCTAAGCAACTCAGTGAGATCCTGTCGCTAAATAAAATACCAAATAGGGCTGGGGATGTGGCTCAGCGGTTGAGTGCCCCTGAGTTCAATCCCCTTTTACGCCCCCCTCCAGAAAAAAAAAAAAAAGGCTTTTCCTTAAAAGAATTTGATGAGATTTGGACAGGAAATGCAGAGTGCATACTAAAAGTGCGGGCCTGCTTCCTCATTCCACTCTGCTCTTTCTTTTTTCCTGCTATCAAAATCTGCTCTTATGCCACTTGCCAGAAATGCTCAGTTATTTTCCCCAGGTTATTTTCAGTTCAATAGCTAAAAAAAATCAAATGGCTTAAAAGCTTAAAACTGTCGTGGTGGGATTTCAGGCATAAGCTAGCAAGTAGCGGGTGAGGCGCTTGGCATGCTGGGAGCCTTCCCCAATGCTGCGCCTGTGGCAGGCTCTAAAAGGGAACACTTACTGATGTGCCCTTCCACCCCCAGTGCCTGGGGGTTCTCACTTCTAAATAATAGGCTGCACATGATTTGATTTCATTTCACTCTAAATTTGCCCAGCCTGCAACCAGGGATGCAAAGTGGAGTCCTACAAATCAATTCCAGTGTGCAAATAAGCAGGTGCCTGTTAACTTGGGGGTGCTTAGAAATGAAGCCAGGCTTCAGAGTGTTGAGGCAATGATTATAATTTGCCTTTGGGGTCAAACCAGGTTTGGAATATGTCACTGTTTTCAAATGTTTCATTTGCTGTCTTGATATACATGGCACGTGTTCTGTGAAGATCTACTCTGTGCAGAGCACTTTGCTAAGGCTAGAGGGGCAAGAAGGAGAGAACTGGTCTCCTTTCCTGGGCTTAAAGTTGCTCAGAGCAGGAGTGGGTCTAAGCCTGAGCAATTTGGTCCAGTAAAGAGAGGCTCAGGTTGGGGACCAGCAGGGACAGGCTGAGCTTCTCGTTCTGAGTTGGAACTTCTCTGCCCAGAGAAGCTCCCTTTCTTCATTCAGCTGCTATTGTTTTGCAGATGCTGCTCTATACCTGCCCCTATTGCATGGTTGGTGTTGACCTGGCTCATCCATGTTTGGGGTCAGGATGGCAAGTTAGATGGAGGCAGGTTCTTTTAATCTGTGCCTAGCCCTGACTTTGGTTGCGAAATATCCTCCCCATGTCAGGCACCAGATTCCCAAGTGTGGCCAAGTTGTCCAGCCCTGCTGTTCCTCTCTGACTTTTGAGTAGACCAACACCTGCTTTCGGCAGCCAGAATGCCAGGAGCCACAGAGAGGTCAGGAGTCACCCTGAGCAGAATGAGGGTAGTCTCTTCCTCCAGCTCCCGCTAAGCTGCTGCCCACAGTGGCTGTCACCCTGGTAGCTCCTCTGCAACTCCGCCCTGCCCCCTTGTGGGCCACCCACCCTCACAGGCCAGGGCTCTGCAGAGTTTTCACTCACTGGCTCTTGGTCACAAGGTCTCTTGCCATACAGGACAATGATTCTTGGCTTGGCCAAAATTTAGTCAGACTTCTGAGCCTTCTCTCAGGCCCATATGTGTATTCTTTGTGAAATTCAGCTTTGGGAAAAGAATGCTGATAAGTCAGCGCAACCAGAAGGCCCCATCTTTGATGGCTGGTTACCATCCACACCTGACCAGGTTCTTCATCCTCCACCAGGGCCCAGGCAAGGTTTGATCCCATGGGTCATCTTCAGTAAGAATCCTGTCAGGTCAGTTTAGCCAGGTTCCCTGCAACTCCTGCTTAGCTGTTTTCATTTACTGACCCTACCCTGCTCGTTGGCTGTCAATTCCCACTTGACCATGCTGTGTTCCACGTTAAGCCCTTTCTCTCTCCCCCTCTGCTAGCCCACTGCAGAGGTCTTACATCTAATGCAATGGTCCTGAATGGTCTTTCTTACTGTGCTTTAGTATTAATTTTTTTTTAATGAGGCTCTCCTTAATTACTTCATGTGAAGGAGCGAATAATTAATAGTAATTGCTCCTTTCGTAGAGTCTTTGCATTTTAATAAGCAGCTAATGCTTTAATTTAATTAAAAATTTTTTTTAAGGAAGAAAGAGAAAAACTTGAAAAGTGGAATTAGAGGACCAGTGGGAAGCTCCTGGGAGCCCTGTTTTCTGCCAGGGGCCTTCCGAATGCCACCATGCAGGCTCTGTCCTCCTCCATGTGCATCAAAGGCTGAGGCTGGTGGCCCATTTGCCCCCTTGTTGTTAGCCCTGGAGCAGTGGGAAACTGCCAATCAAGATTCCTGCTGCCAGGGCTGGGGCTGTAGCTCAGTGGTAAAGTGCTTGCCTTGCATATGTGAGGCACTGGGTTCGATCCTCAGCACCACATAAAAATAAAAATAAAGAAACTGTGTGTTTATCTACAACTAAATAAATATTTTTTAAAAAAAGATTCCTGCTGCCCGCTAGAAGAGTCTTCACTGTAATCCAGGGACATCAGAATTGAATGGTGAACCAAAAACCAGAACATATCACTTTACTTAGTCATGACCCAAACTAACTCATTACTTCATGAGGCCATGAGCCAACTTAATTATCTCCCCTCCCCTGATTGACTAGTTTTACCCAGAGTCAAACTAAGAGGTCCCCGAAGCTCAGAGCTGCTGCTGGGAGGGAACCTGTTCACCTCCCTGCCAGTGCCTTCCCACTTTACAGATGAGGACTTTGAGATCCCAGCCCAAAGGCACATGGCACCTTGGGGACTGAAATCTGACTCTGCTCTGGTATCCCCTTACTTTCTTTATTGTCCTGTGGGAACCTCAAGAGCCAGCACCCACTAGACCTCACATGTACTGGGGTGGAACCTGGGCCTCATGGGTGCTACGTGTGTGTTCTACATTGAGCTTGGCCCCAGCCTGTCCTATTTTTAAATGGAGGTCTCTCTTAATGAAGAGGTTGGTGACCCAAGTGAGAGATGGGGCGGGGTTGGAGTTTCTCCAGCCTTTGCCTCCTCCTGAAGTTGAAAAAGCAAAGGAAACTTTTAAATGCGTCCTGACCTGACTTACATCACGATGATTAATATTATCATTGTTATCGATTGCTTCAATCAAGCCACTAGTTTATCATTTACCTTTCAAAGGTTATGTCAATATTCATATAAATTAGTGGCTCTGAACTGGAGGAGATGTTGCCCATGGGGGACATTTGGCCATATCTTGAGACATTTTTTGGTTTTCACCACTTGGTCGGGGTGGTAGTGGGCACAGTAAGAGCCACCGGCGTCCAGTAGATAGAGGCCATGTGTGTCTCTAGATGATGCACAAGCCAGCCTCCCCCACCCCCAGGAACTATTTGGCCCCAAATGTCAGTGAAAACCTTGCTCAACACAAAGGAGTGCAGGGTTGTCTTAGTGCTAATACCTTGACAATCAAACTCTTCATTTTTCCATGTTCGGCCCAGCCTCTGCTCCACCATGAATACTTACATTTCCTCAGCCCTTATGATCCTGTCAGGGGTTCAACTCATATTCCACTTGTCATCATTCACTGCATCCAGAGCTGTTGTCCCTCTTGCATTGTCCTCTCTGTTACCGGTTTTTTGATGGATGTAATAGGATACCTGAGGTGGGCTGACCCGTTCATGTTTCTGATTGGGGTGTTTGCAGGGACTTGCCAAGTGAGCTGCCTAGGCTGGGGTGGCGCTCTGGGACCTGCTGCGATCAGCCTCCTCTTCCACAGGCCAGGCGTCGGCATCATAGTCCTCATCATCAGTAGCCTTTATGAAGTGCTTTGTGACTGTCTCCTGGCACGGGGGTATCTTTTGCAGAGATCTCCACCAGCTCCTGACATCTGGGGCATGTTGGCTCAGACAGGCAGCATATACGTTAGCCAACCACAAAGACTGGGCTGTAGGCCCCAGGCAGAAGGTGCAAAAACGGATTCCTAGGCAACATTCATGCCAAGAGTAAGTACGACTGGGAAGGCAGATAGGCTGCATTCCCAAAGAGATCCTGGCTCCTGGCTTCTCTCCTCTAGCTGGCTGGAGGCTTTTGGAGAACTTGGGATTCTAGAAGCTCACAGGAGGGAAAGAGGGAGAGAGGGAGAGAGGATAGCAGTTTGACAGGTCAGGGAATTGTTCAAGGGTCCCAGGTAACAGTGCACAGACTAGGAGAAAACATGATGCCCACCAGAGATACTCCTCTGAGACCTTCAGGCGGCCCTCTTTTCTCACCTCCGTGCCCTTTGTTGTCCCTCTGCAGGTGTTCCATGAGCGGGGCATCCTCTTTGGCTACCGGCATCCACAGAGCTCCGCCACAGCCTGTGTCCTCAGCCTTTTCCAAATGACCAATGAGACCCTCAACATCTGGACTCACTTGCTGCCCTTCTGGTATCTTCCAGTGCCCTTGACCAGCCCATCTCATCTAGGGTCCCTGAGGATTAGGGTTTCTTTGAGACACAGTTGGGATTGGGAGGGCTGGGATTGGGGGATTCCTCTATGGGGGCCCAGGTGACCTTGTGGCAGAAGGAGAAGCTGGGTGCTCCATGGAACGAGCTATAGCGCATGGATTGTGGCTGGATTCCAGGGGCTTCTGGAGCTCCCAGGCCCTTCCTTGATTCAATAGTATTTATCTTCATCCCCTTTAGTCCTGGCAGCTTTGCAGGTCTTCGGGAAGCCAGTAACCAGTATCTCTGGTTAAAATGTCACTAGCTTGAGCAGATCACTTAATCTCTCATTTTCCCCTCAAAGCAGTCGCGATGGTCTGTACCTTTCTTAAGGTTGCAGGGAGGACAGGGAGAAAATGGTTAAAGGCATCGGGCACGGAGCAGCAGGTTCATAATTGTTCTGGAACCACAGCAATGGGCAGGCCCTTGGTCAGGCAGTGTTCTAATACAGTCAGCTAAGAGCAAGGCTCTGGGAAGCATGAATCCAGGAGTGGGAGTTTCAGGAAGGCCAAAAGGGCCTTGCTGAGAAAGGTGGGCCCCGGACCAACTTCACACACTTCATGGGGATGAGTTCGCCCTGAGGCGGGGCCACAGCACAGACATAGTGCAGTCAGCAGTCCCCAGTGTCTGTAGTAGATTGCTTCAGGACCCCTGCAGATACCACAATCTGTGAATGGATGCTTCCTTATATAAAATGGCATAGCATTTTCCTATCCCCTATGCACATCCTCCCATACACTTTGAATCTTCTCCAGATTACTTATAATATTTAATACATTGTGTATGCTCTGTACATGATATGGTATGCCATTTAGAGAATAATGACACAAAAAAAATCTACATGCTCAATGCAGTCACATATTTCCTCTCCCTGGATATTTTTGATTCATGGTTAGTTGAATCCCAAGATGCAGAACTACAAATAGTGAGGCTTGACTGTATGTTAGGGCAGGGAGGACCTCATAGGTCATTTGGGCCACTGTCCCACTCAGACCACTGTCAGCTGACAAATGCAGCCAGAGAAGGGTGTCTTCTTTACATTGCATAGCAGAGTTGAGGCACAGGTGGGCCCTGAACCCCCCAGACTCTATGAAAGAGTCAGAGGGACCCCAGAGCATGCTGAGTGGAGACAGGCCTGAGGGAGCCCGCTGTGCTCTGGCATGCAGGTAGTCAGCCTGATGGAAGGCAAAAGACAGACAGACCCAGGGCCAACATGCAGGGGAAGGCTGGTCCCAGCAGCCACCCTGGTGGAGGAGAGAGAAAGCTCAGTCTTGGGGTAGAGTAGGGAGAAGAAGCCTGACAGCCCTGGGGCCTGAGGACTGGGAAGGATGGCAAGTTCCTAGTCAAGGAGGCCATTTGTCATTTAAACTTTTTGCTTCTATAAAAGCCTGCATGCCAATAAATTGTAGCATTGCAGAAGGGAATCAAGTTAGGGTCTCTCCGGCCCTCATTCTCCCTGCAGCTGCCTGTTTCCTGTGCATCCTCCTGAGCTGCTCTAGGGAGCCTGAGCAATGGTGGCTTGTGCACACCTAACTTCGGCATATTTTCTCCCCTTGCTCTCCTGCTGTCTCACGGGGAGGTCTCACTGGACCCAAGTCTCTCTGGTTTCAGAATGAGAGTTCTGTTTTGTGGATGAACCATGATTGATGTCAGTTGTTTTGAGATTTGATACCATTACAAAGTGGGTCTTGAGGCCTGTGAACAGATCCCTATGGGAGGACTTTTTAGCTATTTTACAGCTGAGCCAACCTGGCTGAGCTACCCCACTGCATACCGCTGCCCTACACAAGCCAGGCTCTCAGAGACGATCCCACAGACCAGCCAGAAGGGCCTGGGAAAGCCTGTGTCCAAATGCCTTAAGGAAATGGAATGATGAAATGATCCCGAGGTGATGAAAGGATATGTTTTGGGAAAGAGCAAATAGCTTAAGCTTTACTTCTGCTGAGGCAGGATGAAAACATATAGCCAGAAGGGTTTAGGGAACCTCCTTCAGGTCCCTGTGAACATGCTCTGTAGAGTCTCCATCTCTGGAGGAGTTAATAGGAAAGGGAGCCTGTTCTTCATGAGTGGTTTGTAGAAGTGAGGTGCTGTACAGGTGGGACCCCATATGTGGGTTGCAGGTTAGGCAGTTCTAACATAGGACTGTGCCATATCTCTAAACTTGCTAGCACTAGGAATTGCCATGGGAGGTGGTGAGCCCACCATCCTTGGAGGCGTGCAAGCCAAGGCTGGAGAATCACTTGGACAAGATGCCATGAAAGAAATTCCATCACCCTGTGGCAGGGAGAGGATTGGATTAGATAGACCTAAAAAGGCTCTCTTCTTACCCACCCCACCTGCCCATTTCTAATTTACTGCTTCTTAAGTCCAAAAGGCCCCTTCCACCCTCTCCAGCACATGGCACTTCACCAAAGTGAGAACTCATAGGAATTGGTCATCCTAGGAGAATGGAAAGCAGGGGAGGGTCGGGTGGAGAGTTTAGAGGTTCCCAGCCACAGAGCTTCAGGGGCCCATGCTGTGTTCCAGGTTCTTTGTGTGGAGGTTTGTGACAGCACTATATGTGACAGACATCCAGAATGATACCTATTCATGGCCTCTGCTTGTGTACATGTGCACCAGCTGCGTGTACCCTCTCGCATCCAGCTGTGCGCACACCTTCAGCTGTATGTCCAAGAATGCCCGGCACATCTGCTACTTCCTGGACTATGGTGCTGTCAACCTCTTCAGCCTGGGTATGTGAGTCTTCTCCCCTGAGACCCAGCCATTCGCCTCTTCCCCTGTGGGCAGGGCCACCATGAGGCTTTGATGGGTGTGTAGGAGTCACAGGAATTCCAGGATCTCTGTCCAGGCTCCTGATGAGGGTTTTGTAAGAAGCTCTCTCGTCTGTCCGTGTGCTTCTGTGGTATAAATGCTGTGTGGCTACTTCAGGCTCTCAGTATGATGCCCCCAACATCTCTCTGTTTTTCTTTGACATTGGGGAGGAGATGCACGCAGGCACACACCATTACATAGTATTTCCACAGATATTAATAGATGTATGCATTGAGAACTTGAGACTTCTGTTAATACAATTTACTTAATTGTAAGCTTATGTAGCTTGATTTTGATGGTAACTGGGCTAACAGTCGGCTTGCAATGCTCTGAAACTTTCATAATCAGCTCCTACCGGCCAGGACAGGCAGACTCCAGCACATCAGGACTGGTCGCTGTCATGCCTGGTAGAGAACAAGGGTGGGGGATCACGCACTGAACCTCCTTTGTCCTGAGTCTTAGAGGGGTTAGAGGCCCGTTCAAAGTGCCACAGGAAAGAGCTGCAAACCTGTTGGCGACGTGGGCGTTGGTGTCTCCGACTCCATCTTTTTCTTTGACTCCTGCCTGTTCCTCTCTCCTCTACTTATGGCATCCTTCATCCCCCAGGACCCTGGTTCTAGCCGCTTCATCCCTCCTGCTCCTGCTCTGGGTTGAAAGCCAGTCGCTGTCTTCCCTTTTACGCGAGTTGTCCAGGAGGATCCTGGAGGTGATTAAGTGACCCTCTTCCTGCCACTCCTAGGGCTCTGCTGTCTGGTCCCCACCACTCACCAACACAGGTTGCCAAGGCCCCAACCTTGTGCTAGCCATCTCTCCTGGGCTCTCGCCAGCCTTTGACACAGGGGCCTCTCCTGCAGCACCCTCCCCCTTGTTCTTCCTTTTTTGCTAGCCCCTTCCTCTGTTCTCCTCCATAGATGAGCTTGCTCAGAATTTACCCTCTCGCCCCTTCTCTACATGGCCCAGCTCCTGGCTGCTGCCCACACCATCCCTTATCTCCTCTGAACAAGGTGCTCCCAAACTCCATCTTTGAACTGTGGACCTGAAGTTCCTGACACCTCCGAGCCTGAAACCAGGGCTGTCTGCATCCTCTCCCCACCTGCCCCCTCATCTGTCCCCTCTCCCATACCTCCCAGCCAGTGCCCGCCACTCCTGCTCATTCGTGTCAGAACTCTGTAGTAACCCTGCTCTTCTGCCCTGTCTCCTCTTGCACCATCCACCTAATTGGTGATCAGGTCAGTTGAGGGTCTTTCCTACGCACCCTTCAAGGGGCTCTGCCCCATACTCTTGGCTAGGACCCACGCCTGGGCCTCCCCACTGAATGGTGGCCACAGGCTGTCCAGTTCCACCCAGATGCCCTGGAGGCTTTTGCAACACCTTCTCCCACGTCTCCCCTCCCACTGTGAACTTTCAGGCCCTTCATTACCTGGGATGAAGTCCAAACTCCTGAGCCTGGCGGCTTCCTTTAGGCTCATTTCTGATGAGAGCATTTTGAGTAATTGCTGAGAGGCCAGTTCTCTGCTGAGCACCTGACACATGTCATAACATGGTGCTTAATTGTCCAGATTCTAGAGCCCGCTGCCACCACTCCTTGGTAGTTATGTGCTCTTGGGCAAGTTTCTTAATCTCTCCGGCCTCAGTGTTCGCATCCAGAACATCGGCGTAATGTCTTCTCGTAGGAGTATTATGGTGATTAAATGATTCTAAGTGGAGCCTCTGAGACAGTGTCTGGCGCTTGGTCCACCAGACAGGGTGGCCAGCACCATGACTGTCTCACTAACCCAGGCAGCACCACCTGGTGGCTGCTATAGGCATGCCCACGCTGGAGGTGAGTGTAGAGGAGAGAGAAGGTAAATTGCCAGGGTCACTCCACTGGGAAGTGGCAGAGCCAGGCTTAGACCAGAAGCCTGCACTGTCAGCCAGTGCCCCACACTGCCTCCCTCCTCCACTGGACCACAGTGTGTGTGTGAGTGCCCCTGTCACCATGTCTCCCTCCTCAGAGCCTCATGTGCCATCCCCAGGTCTCCCTCTTCCCTTCCCTGCAGGGTCTTCAAACCTCTGCCCTGGATGCTTTGGGGGCCCTGCTCTGGGGCCCTCTTCCTATCCTCCTCCATAGCTCTGACCCCCAGCTTGTCAGAGATGCCTTAATACCTGCCCCTTCATGGGATCAACTGTCTGAGGACAGATGTGTCATTGCTGTTCCATGTTCTAGTTCGCAGCCCCATTGTTTGACATGGAAAAAAAAAAAAAAAAAGCCCAGCAAATGTGAAAGGAAGGGACAGGCCTTTGAGAGAAACCACTGATTTCACCTCAGACCCACAGCTCCGCCCTCCACTGTCACCTCTCCTCCCCACTGTCCCCCTCCCACCCTGGAGAGCCCTCAACTCCTCAAGGTTGGCAATTACTTTAACTTCCTTGGCCTCCAGCTTTTCCTCCCTTGGGCTTCCTGTGTACTTCCGCTGGGTTTTGGCCCTCTTCATTTTCTGTTTAGCAACCTTCTGTGACTCCCTATTGCCCTCAAGAGGAGGTTCATTTTTTTAGACTGGCATCCACAGCTGCTCCCTGGACAGCCCACCTGCCTTCAGGTGCTTATCAGAGACACCTCAGCCTCAACTCTGGATGGGGGCCATGGTCAGCTTCTTGGCCTATTGCTTTGTCCATCCTGAATGCTCACCCCACATGGGAAACCACCTTGCTTGCTGTTGTAGTTCTGGGCAGGGACTGAAGCCCCCTGGCTCCTGTATTGCCCACACAGCTGGGCTCCAGTTGGCATCCACTGAGTTCATGGCATCCAGGTCTAGGTGGGCGTCTTCTCCTAGTGTCAGGCCTGGAAAAGCCCTTGTGTGCTCCCCTGGAGTGGTTCCCAGCTAACACCTCACAAGCAGCTGCTGCCCTGGAGAGCGTGGTACATGGTACCAGGAGGGCAACTCTCAGCCCTTTCCACCTGTGTGACCAATTTCACTAGATCCAGCAGCCAAATGTGGTAAAAGGCAGAGGTTGGACCCGAGAGGCTGGGGCCTGTTCCCGGCCCAAGCTGGAATTTCAAGGTTCTCAATGTCTAGGAAGAACAGGGTCCTTGAACCTGATCCCTCAGTGTCTGGCCTGACAGGCCTGTGGTCACCCATTCCAGAGGGATAGGCTCAAGTGAGTGCATGCAGGTGCTAGCCCCTTTGTGAAGAACAGTTGTCTCCCCTGTGGTTGCAAATAAAAGTCTCAGCCAATTGGTCTCTGGAAGGTCCTAGGGGTCACACCTCTCACAGATTCCAACACCTAAAAAAAAAAAAAAAAACCACCTTATCTAGCCTCTCAGCTGGACAGTCTCTAGCTTCTTCTCAGGGAGGGTCTGCCCCCTCACTGACCTTCCGAAGCACCATAGGCAGGTGAAGTATGCATGTTCCTGAAAGAAAAGCTGAGCACTCTGGGCTGTCTTCACCAGCAGTAGCACAGAGTTAAGAGCAGGGACAGCTGGGTGCATTGGCACATGCCTGTAATCCCAGCAACTTGGGAGGCCAAGGCAGGAGGACCGCAAGTTAAAGACCAGCCTCAGTAGCTATGCAAGGCCTTTTTTAAATTAAAAAATGAAAAGGGCTGGAGATGTAGGTCTGTGGTAGAGCACTTGCCCAGCAAGTATGAGGCCCTGGGTTCAATCCCCAACACTGCAAACAAACAAATCAAAAACTCGGGAACTTTCTCACCCAGCTGCCTAGGTTTGAAGCTTGGCTTTGCTACTTTCTGGCTGTGTGATCCTGAATGAATTGCTAAACGTTTCTGTGCCTCTATTTTCTCATCTGTAAACTGAGAATAAGTGTAAGCTTTATGTGGGAGGATGGGGATAGAGATTAAATGAGTTAATGTATGCAAAAATGGAGGAATACTAAATTACAGGCAAGTCTCAGGATAAGACTTAAGTAAGAAGAGGAGCAAGGGGTGAGCATTCTGGGAGGGTACAGGGGGAGGCCTGCTCACGGGTCTGTGGGATGACGAGGGCTAAGACGGGGGTGGGCGTGGGGAATAGTCTTTCTAGGGATCCACCCAGTGCCAAGGCCTGGCTTTGTTCCCATGTTGGTTTTTCTTCCCAGGCTCAGCCATCGCCTACTCTGCGTATACGTTTCCTGAAGCGCTGGTGCAAACCCCCTTCCATGACTACTACATAGTGCTGGCCGTGCTGAACACCATCCTTAGCACCGGCCTTTCCTGCTACTCCAGGTACCAGGCTCTCTGAATTCAGATGGGTGGATAGGGAGGGGGGCTTAGCATGCAACTCCATGGCATTTGAGAGGTCCATGGAGGAGGTTGGCTGGGTGGAAAGGGCACCAGGAGCCTGTCTCCATTCCAGGTGGATCCCCTGTCTCTGAGTACTATAGGTGTGCACAGGTGCTGCCCCACAAGGCCCCTTGCCCGGAAGAGCCCATGCTTGGTTTAATGCTGTGAAATTCTTAGTGATTTTGGAACAAGAGTGTCCCCACTTCGATACTGTACTGGTTCCTATAAATGATGTAGCTGACTTTACTAGGCAAGTCACTTAGCCCCCTTGAACTTTGGTTGCTCATTTATAAAGCCGGGCCAATTCATCTGCCTTCTGAGATGGACGTGAGGATGACAGGTAATGTTCCCAGGATGCCCCTCACAAGCCCAGACGGTGGAGGTGCCTTGTAAACAGGCAATCTACCTCTAATAGCAATGGAGGGGGCCTGCCTCTCCGCTGTGTGGGGGATGACGCATGATAGTCAATTGCCCAGCTCATCCCCATGGCTGTGGGTCACACCCAGCTCACTGCCTCTAATTCCCACTGTTCTTTTCCCTTTCGCTCAAGAAAACTCCTTGGGGTGTGAATGTGAGAGGCATTGTTATGGGGACCAGTACACTAATTTCTATACCTCTTGGCAAAATTTTTTTGTCCAAAAGCTCAGGTTCCCTGTAATAATGTGGAAGGTCAGGGGACCTTCCACAGGGCTGTATCAGGGTGACAGCCCTGTCCAGATAGTGCTGAGGTCCCAGGCAGCAGCAGGTCAGGAAAGGCATCAAGGTAGGCTGCAGATTGCCCCTTGGTTCTTGTCTCCCAACTACAATCCCAGGAAGCCATTGCGCTCCATTTGGAACACCTGAAGCCCTCCACTGTCTCTCCCCAGGAAGAATATGTGAGGTGTGCCCTTGTAACTTCTCTGGGCTCCCATTTCCTTGGGTTTTTAGGATCAAGGGAGAGTAGGCGTTTTACAAACCCGACAAACAGGTTTTTTGAATATGTGGAAGGATAGATTCTTCAGCAGCAGCAGGAACATCCGCCCCAACTTGACTTCATTTGCCTGCACTGAGATGGGGCAGAGGTGTGGAGTTGCTTTTAATGGGAGTGGGTGCTCCTTGCTGGAACGGGCTCAACACTGGATTGTGCGTGGCTTCCTCCCCAGGGAGTTGCTGGGAGCAGGAGTGTGTGCTGGGGTAAGCTTCCTTCCCTTCCTGGAAACCCAGAGCTCTCCTAAAGTTGTGAGGAGCCAGTGTCCACCCACAGAGGCAGAGAATAAAGTAATACCCCCTCAGGGACACACCTGGGGCCTGGTCCTTGGACACATACATCACTGTTCCTGTCAGGTTGATTCCTGAAGACCTGAGGTGTTTGGACTTCTGCATTAGAGGAGGGTGAGCACAGGGATGAGGGGACAGAGGTGGCTTCATGGGCATGGAAGAAACATCCCCAGAGTTAATGGGTCAAAACTGCTTTCCAAGAACTCAGAAAGCAAATTCTTGGATCATTTGTCACTTTTTTTTTAAATCTCTCTTAATCACCTGCAACCACCAGGAGAGTTTGTTTCCTTCCAGCCCAGTCTCCCTGACTGTTCACTGTGGTGGATGGCCTTTGGATTTGGTATGCCTGGTGTGTTTGGATGAGCTTGTTTGCCTGGCAGCTGGGCCAAGAATCTCCTGAATGCCCATGTTTGGGGCCTTCCCTCCTTGACAAGGGAATAGTTTATTCTGTCTATGAATGGAGCACATCTGCGGCTGTTCCAGCCATCCTCCCCTCCACCCATCCACTCACCCACCCCACCTTCCTTAAAGCCTGCCAGGCTGGGAATACCGGGAGGAGTAAATGGCTGCCCTGGCTTCAGAGGGTACCAAGGACAGGCAGATTACAGGCCTCCCCAGAAGCCCTTTAGGGCAGCAGGACAGGGTAGGGGAAACAGTAATGAGATGCAAAATGACCTGTACAGGGCCCTAGGGAGTGACCTCAGGACTGAGCCTGGGAGGAAGCTCGTTTAGCTGGAGAGGACGAAAGGAGGATCAGCCTGGATGAGGGTGGTGGTCATGGAAAAGACAGGACAGATTGGAAGAGGTGAGGAGTTTTCGAAGGGGAGGGGAGAGCACTAGGAGGGCCTGGAGGGCAGGCTGCGGAGAGGACACAAGCTGTGTCCTCTGAGGACATTTCCTTTGCTCAAGACAGACATTGATCTCCTGAGAAGAGACTTTCCTCTGCTTGGCTTCTGGCTTCTGCAGCTGCTGCAGAGCAGCTTTGGGGCTGTGCAGGAAGAGGAAAGGAGAATGGGCGTCCCAGCAGGGCTCTTTGGGTTCTATCACACCTTGTCCTCTTCCCATGTTCCCATACCCATGGTGGTTTCCCTGCACTCACCAGGCCTAACCTCCTCAGTCCCCATTGGCTCACTCTGCATAAGAGTCTGGAGAGTGAGAAAGATGACTGGTATTGGGGAGTGAGAGACACGCTGGCCCTGAGTGACTTCCTGTTAAGGAGGTGGAGAGGAGGGCCTGGATCCCTCCTGCTCCCCTTTCACCAGGGCAGGTTCCATCTGGCTGGGTGTCCTGCAGTGCCTGTGCCACAGTGTCTTCCTCCCCACACCCAGCCCTGCCTCTCCCTCCAGCTCTAGCAGTTAGAGCTCTGCTGAGCCCCTTCCCCTCCCACAGCACTAACAGGACCAGGAACCTGGGTGTTCACAGGCCCAGCAGGGGTCATGGGTTCATGGCACTTGCTCCAGTGCTGTTCAAACCATTAGGGTCCATCTCGACATGGGGGACTGTAGTGCCCTGAGTGGTGTTTTGGTTCTTAATACCAAGGAACTTAGTTCAAGGAAGCGTGTTCCAGAAGAACATTCTTTCCCATTCTATAGCATTTGAAGGGGTGGAGGGGGAATGTGCACCCTCTCTGCATCGGGGAGATCAGGATGCTGGCCTGCCAACTGCCCAGCAGCCCAACAGCGCAGCCTCACTCCCTGTAGGAATGCTACTTATGCAGTGTTTGCCACGCAGCACAAGTCACTGTGAATCATCTGTCCAGCACGTCCAGCCATTGATTTTTATTTATTTATTTATTTGACAAAGTTGCTGTGTGAAATGGCCTGTGGTCAGTGCTATGAGGGAAGAGATTAATCTTCATGCCGGGTACACAGTGAGCTACACCACGAGAGTGATGCTAGGAGGAGGAGGCTGTGGTGGTGCAGGGGCATGAACTGGCCTGGGAGTGGCTTGGAGGCCAGAGCCCAGGGTAGAGACTCAGCAGACCTGGTTCTAGACACTTCTGGAGGCCGAGGAGCCTTGGTCAGAAGGCAAAGAGGGACCTGACCCCCCCACACACACACAGTCACAAAATATAAACACACACACACACACACACACACACACACACCCTTCTGCAATAGAGGGATTTTTATAAATCCCCATTAGTTCCAGGCCCTAGTTCCAGAATTCCTTACAGCTTTGTTACCACATTTATTGACCTAACCCTTTAAGCCAGGCTTCTCTCCAAATCCAGTATTTCCTGCTGGTCTCATGTGGGAAGAGTATTACTGAATTCTTACTAACTATCTATTTGACCCTTGGGTGCAGGAAGTTACACAGGGTGGGCTTTGGACACTTGTGGGGCTTGGAGGCTTTGGAGGGTTCTGTGGCTGCTCACAGGATGCCTGGCACTCACTCCTGGAATCTCTGGCTGTGGCGGCACCTTGTGGTTTGATGTGGAATTGCATCTTGATAGTGGGAGGCACCTCTGTGGCTACTGGCTTTTCTGCTTTTTCCTCTGTTGCCTTCTCTCTCCTGTTCTGCTTTTTTCTCCTTTTTTTTTCCTCCTATAGACTCGGATTTGCGGCTGGAGAGGCTGGTCCGATGCCCCTGGCCCCTGGGGAGGCGAAATGTTGTCTCAAGTCACAGGAAATCCATGCTTTGGGGGATGGCCCTCACCAGCCAGAGCCAGATTTCTTCGTAAGTGGCTGCAAGGAATGCACTTTAGGGCAAGCCTCTTCCCCAGAGCTGGCAAGTGGTGGCAGTGCACAGCCAGGGTAGACTGAAAAGGCAGCAGGGGCAGGTGCCCGGGCCATTAGGGCAGTGTGAGTGTGCTCCTTTAGGCCTCGGGGGCAGAGGCTGTTGGGAAGAGCAAAGGCTGGGCCTTCTGGGGCAGGCAGGGGGCAGTGTGAAACCAGAGAGGTCCACAGTCCTAGTTTAAACCTAGCTTTGTCTCTTATTAGCTCATCTGACTTTACGCAGATCACCCAGCCTGACTTTCCTCCAATTCCTGTTTGCTGGTCCAACATGGCTCTGAGATGGGGGTGGGGGTAGAGCCACACACATTTACTGCATTTTAGTAACTGTGCTTTGCTGTTCTAAACATCTTTCAAGCCTCATTTTTAGCAAATACTTAACACTGTGAGGGAGGAAGTCATTGACCCTAGACTACGCCCAAGGCCTTGGAGGCACACAAAGATCAGGAAACCTGTCATAGTCACAGGGTCCTGAGGGGCGAGATCACAGCTCTGTGCAGCCTCCCTTCCCCAGATGCCTGCAGCGCTGTCCAAGGATGTGGTTCTTGGATAAGGTGATGATGAATCAAGGGCACTTCTCCTCCAGCTCCTTCTCTTCTTTCTCCCTAAGTATCCCTTTTCTGTTCCTGGAACCTACCACATGCTTCCTGTTTTATGGGCACAGACAGGAAAGAAGATACTTGCCTGTGGTCTTGAGTGAAACTGTCTCTGGAGCTATGGGCTCCACAGGGCCCATGGTGTCCTCCTCCTACCCTCAAGCAGGGGGTCCTCATGAAGACTAATTTGCCCGGCTTCCCTGAGGACTGGGAAGAATACACTGGCCTAGAAATTGATCGTCAGGCACAGTTCTGGGCTGGGTTTGGGGAATCCCGACCTGACCAGATCCAATGTCTGCCCTTGAAGAAGGTTCCCCAGTCAGATGTGAGTCTATCAGATGGTATGGACAGCAGTGGGATATGCACACAGGTGTACATGCTGGCTCTTAAGTAACATGAACAGCCTGTCCAGGGGAGGTGGGCCCAGCTCAGTAGGAGCAGTAGGTAGTGAGGGAGAAAGGGCTGGTCCAACATGGCTCTGAGATGGGGGTGGGGGTAGAGCCACACACATTTACTGCATTTTAGTAACTGTGCTTTGCTGTTCTAAACACCTTTCAAGCCTAATTTTTAGCAAATCCTGGGTTGGGACAGAGGGTTGGGGAGCAGAGATGGGCATAGTGGTAGGACACAGGCCCTATCCCAGCAGATCCCATGATGATCCAAGGCTGGGAGGGCCCCAGTGCTTCCACTGTTTCTTCAGACTGCAGCCGAACTGCCTCCTGAGGGCCTTGATGCCAAATCTCTGCACACCACCCTGCTGGGCCTTCAACCCCACTGCAGGGCATGGGTCCCTGAGGAGAAATCCAGACTTGTGCAGTACACTGCAGTATTTAAATGGGTACTGGCCCCTGACACCTGGCCTTGGTGGTCCAGCAGGGACACATGAGCACTTCCTTACCAGGGCGTCAGTTCCAAGCTATGGTTTTGTGTGAAATCTCCTTGGCCATTGATGTCTTCCTGGTGTCCAGCCTGCCAGCTGTGCTGCCGGTTCCCACACCTTTAGCTGCTGTCCCTCCCTGGGCCCACTGAGGCCCTATCATGGTCTGCTCAGGGGGACCTGCCTCTCTGCAACAACCAGTGTCACTAGTGTTCATGTTGGGTTGGAGAGACTGGAGATGAAGGAGAGAAGGAGCAAACTGGCCAGCACGGCTGGGTGTGGTATCAATAGTCTGGAAACCCTGCAGCTTACCTACCTGAAGCCAGGTTTTCCTCATGGTCCTCACCTGGGAGGCTCCCAGGAGTCAGGTACCTCTCACCTCCATAGAGCATGCTTCACAGGGTCCATGGCAGTGCCTTCCCTTCCTGGTCCTGGAGGTAACTGGACTTTTGTAAATCTCCTTGCAGTTGAGTAACTTGGCACTTGTAGGGTTTCTGCCAGGAGTCTCCTCCCTGGCTTGGTCTGGACACACTGATTCTCATGGTGTCAGGACAAGTTTCTGCAGACATCCTTTTCAATCTGAGGGTCTGTCATTTCCACCAGGGAAGAGGCTGGTGAGAAAGCGGCTGGTCACAGGAGGAGATGCAAACTGCTCGTCTTCTGTTGCTTACCAGCCTTTCTGTTATGTTCGGTGTGCACACATGTGATTGCCTGAAACTTTTCATTTCCATTTCTTCCCCCTTTCCTTCCCCAATTTAGGTTTCTTGAAATCCAGAAGCCCCGTCTCTGCAAGGTGCTTCGCGTCCTCGCCTTTGCTTACCCTTACACCTGGGACTCCCTGCCCATCTTCTACAGGGTAAGGGCCTAGCTGCATCCCGTTCTGTGGGCACACCTAGGAGGCAGTCATTTCCTGAGCTTCTGGGGGTCGAAACTCCATACTGGACACCATATGACACACAGGAGGCAAGATCTCGCTGCCTTGATGGCATATGCAGAGATTAGAGATGGCATGAGCATGGAGGCCCTGAGAGACAATGTGCCTGGGGGCTCAGGAGCAATGGCCCAGAGCTGGGCAGGACAGGCAGCTTGGGGTTTGGTACAGTGAGCAAGGGTGGGCTCTGGAGGCCAATCGCTAATCCTTGCTGCCAGTCCTTGGGCAAGTTCTCCGCATCTTGATGTCCCTTATCTATAAAAAGGGCATGATATTAACACCACTGTGGGTTTTGAGGAGGATTATGTGAATTGACATGTGTAGTGCTGATTGATGGCAGGAGTCCAATAAATGCATTATTGTGTCTTATCACTGATTAATGTATGCTCGTTTAGAATTGAAGGAAAAGGTATGAATGAAGGTCTTCAAGGAAGATGGGAATTAATCAGAGAACACAGAGGAGAGGAGGGTTTAGGTAGGATAAGAAGGGGAAAGTCCATGTACTCTCAAATTAGGTAGGCCTGAGTTCAATTTCTGGTTCCACTGCTCCCTGGCTGTGTGATCTTGGGCAGTGAACAGAACCCTCTGAACCTGAGGCTCTTCATCTGGAAGTGAGACTAACATTTCTCCTTCGTAGGAGGTAATGAGGATCAATCCACACGGTGGATCCGGTGGGCCCAGCAATGCCTGGCACACAGTCCATACGGAGGGGGCCTCTCCCAGAGCCAGCATCTGGGTGCCATGATAAGACCCAGCAGGCGAAGGCTGGCAGGGAAGGGGAGTGGAAAGCTCCACCTGCTAGCTCGGGCATCGAGTGTTTGTTCTGTGCTCCCCCTATACGGTCGGGGGGAGACCTAGAGATGGGGTACAGCCCCTTCCTTTTGTTCCTTCTTTAAGGAAGTGTGCAGACCCACTAAGTCAGTATAGTGTCAGTATAGTGTGCCACAGGCTCGGCACTGTCACCAGTGCTGTGCGCTTCTAGCTCTTGGTGCATCAGACAGTGGGGAGGAGAGGGGTGGTGTCTAATTCTAAATGGTGCCATTGGTCCTGGAACCAGCCTGCTGGGATTCTGATCCTGACTTTGCTACTTATTAGAGGTTTGTGAATCCCTCCCTGGCCCACATTTCTTTTCTGCAAAATGGAGTCTGCTTTATGGTAATTGTTGAGACTTATATTAAATGATGCATGTAAAAGGCATAATAAGTGGTAGCTACTGTTATTATTTACATAATAACACAAAAACTACACTCAAACCATGAAACGGTGTACTTAATACTCTTTAATGATTCAGAGGCCTTCAGGCCTTAAAGTCTTAATCAGGACCATCAGTTCCAGGGCTGTGTGGGCTGAAGAGAGTTCATATGTCCACAGACCACTTTTATACTTACATTTCACCCCAAGAAAGAGTAGCAAAATATCTAATAGGATTTTTCTTTTCTCTTACTTTCCTTGTTCCTAATTTCCTTTCCTAATTATGTGTGTGTGTGTGTGTAATAACCCAATCGTCTCTCATGAGCGTTTGATGGGGGTCAAAATACAGTTGTCTTGGGTCTGACTTGATCCTACTCAGTAAAAGCTCTGCCCTCACAGCCCCTGAGAGTCCCTCCTCCAGGCCATGGACCTGTGGGAGGCCTGGTGGGTGGAGTTCCTGCATGGTGCTGAGGTATCTGGGCCTCCACCCCAGGTGCTGAGAAGGACCAGGGCCTGTTGGAGGCCTGTCCTCCTCTAAAGACCTGCTGTTTCCTTAAAACACCTGCAGCTCTTCCTGTTCCCAGATGAGGACATTGAAAATGAAGCCACCTTGTACCACCAGAAGCACGTTGTCATGACCCTCCTGGCCTCAGTCTTGTACTCTGCACACCTGCCAGAGTGCCTGGCCCCTGGATGCTTTGACTACATTGGTGAGTGAGCACTGTGGCCCTGTTATTATTTATTCTTGTTGATCTCCTGGCCAGGGAGGGGACCTATCTGACACCAGTGTAGTGGCTGCAAAGGCCCATGGGGGCAGGGTGGACAGACAAGGGCAGGGAGAGAAGCAAATCTTGAGGAAGCTCAGGCCAAAGTGAATGCCACTGCAAGGTGACAGAGGCCAGCATATGTGACACCGTGCTTTGCTGGGTAGGAGCAGGGAGGATGGAGAGCAGGCGGGTCTAGACCTGAAGCCTTAGGAGGAGGAACCTTAGGTTCCCATCACTAAATGAACATTGGGAGCAGCTGTGGAGAGGAATAAGAAAGATGGCCTTGAGAAGGCAAGATGGGGATCTGTAGTTCATGTCTCATCCTGGCTTTGAGGCTGGCTGAGTGGACGTCACCCTTGGGTCACTTCTGGTGAAGGTGACAAGCCTTTGGGATGAAAGTTCCTTAAATAAGGTCCATGGAAACCACAGGGCCAGTCTTTTTCTCCAACATGGCAAACACCCTTAGTTTTCTCCAAGCCCGTTTGGTCTCTGGTTGAATTTCTACCTCCTCCCACCTAAGAGATGTGACCAGGTATGCTTTGATTGATCTGACAAAACTCCATCCTCTTCTTCTGTTCTGCCAGAAGGGGTAGGAACTAGCAAAATGCTTAGAGGTCAGATTTCCAAAAGAGAGGAGGATCAGAGGCCAGGAAACAGGTGGCAACTGGCCCCTGCATACCATGGCTACTTCCAGACCCACTTTAAGGAAGTAGAGGTGGTATGGATGAAGTCTTGGGGACTGCAGGAAAAATAGTGAGGGGCATTATTTTGCTTCTCAGAATTCTATTAATTCACCTCTATCCTGTTCCCCTGGCCTAAGAGAACAGAGCAGAAAATCTCCCCTGAGGGAGGAACTCGCCAGCACACCACTTTATGATGGGTATGTTCAGTCCTTAAGTAACTGACTCTGCTGGGGCGGAAATCCCTCTCTTTTAGTACCCTGAGCCCAACTTGTATGGGACTTGCTGGCCTGGCCTGATTAGCCATGACTGCAGGAAGCCCCCCAATTCCTGGTAGGCAGGACTGTTGAAGTCACTTTTCCTTGCTGCTGTCAAATTTTGGGTATACCTGATGCTGGTGGCTCTGTCTTTTCTCTTGGGGCCTCATGGAGACATGTGTGAGCCTTAGCTGGTGAACATAGTGAGTCACTGCTCTCTGCTTGGCCATGTCCTTGGGGAGCATCACCCCCAAGCTGCTTTTCTGTGTCACACACTGATTGGAATCATACAGAGCAATGTGTTCAGCTCGAGTGAGGCCAGAGTGGCACCTCTCGACACCTTCTTTTTTGGGAATGAGACTGGGGCTTTAAAGAATTCAGTAGACATCTGCTTGCAAATCTTCAACCCTCCTGAGCTTATAATTCTAACTTGTTTATTGAATACTTTTTCTGGGATAGGTACTGAGGGTACAATATGGGACTTTTTTCTTTTTAATTGGAGGACCATTTTTGAACTCTCATGTTGTATAAGGTTGCTAAGGCTGCTATACAAGTACCCTTGACTGGATGGCCTAAACAACGCAAAGTTATTTTCTCACATTCTGGAGGCTGGAAGTCTGAGATCCAGGTGTGGGTAGGATTGGTTTCTTCAGAGACCTGGCTTTCTCTCTTTAGTTTGGGGTGGACCATTTTTTCCACCTGTTTTCATGTGATTTTCTTCTATGTGTAGGTGCATGTCTATGTTCTAATCTCCATTTTTATAAGGACATTGGTCACTGAATTAGGGGCCACCCTAGTGACCTGTCACTTAATTCTCTAAAGACCCTTTCTCCCTAATATGGTCACATTCTGAGGATATCAGTATATGGATTTCTCAGGGCACAACATATTCAAACCATAACATGTATGGTCTTCTTCTCCCACTCCTGGTGTCTGAGGCCCATACCCAAAGTAGTCTCTGACCCTGGGCATTGGATTCCTTTTCTCACCACTCACCACATGGCCCAGCTTACTCCCAGCACCTCTGCTGGGCTCCACCCTCTGTTGATGAGATATGTGAGCTGGGTGCAGCCTGCCTTCAAGGAACAGGAGTTCCTGGTTATGTTTCTGATTAACCAGCAGGAGGGAGAAGAGCACTTGGTAAGCAGTCCAAGAAAAACATGCAGCCTAACTTTTTCCTTTTTCATCTGGAAAATGAGTGTGGTAAATAAGTTGTTCTGAAAAAGAATTTTGCTCTGATGGTCTTCATATTTTTCTCATATTGCTGGCAATTGAACCCAGGGCCCATGTGTGAATTAAGCACAAACTCTACCACTGAGCTATGCATTCAGCCCCCTCACACTGTTCTTTAAAATACTTTTATTAAGGTGTACTTTATATATTAAAGAGTCTCCCAGGGGCTGGGGATGTGGCTCAAGCGGTAGCGTGCTCGTTTGGCATGCGTGCGGCCCGGGTTTGATCCTCAGCACCACATACCAACAAAGATGTTGTGTCCGCCAAAAACTAAAAAATAAACATTAAAATTCTCTCTAAAAAAAAAAAAAAAAGAGTCTCCCAAAGTCAACTGTACAAGTCAATGTTATATTGTGTAAATTTTCCAAGTTGCCTGAACATCACCATAAATCCATTTCAGAACATGCACTGTGAATACCAATTCCCACCCTTTGCTCGAGGCAACCATGAATCTCCTCTGTCTCTGTGGATTTGCCTACTCTGAATACTTCATGCAAATGGGATCCTATATGTGCCCTTGCTGGCTTCTTTCACTTAGCATCTTTTTAGCAAACATGTCATAGTTTGTGTCAATACTCCTTCCTTTTGTTCAGTGATCTCAATGGCCTTTTGTGTGTTTGCTGTAGGTCACAGCCACCAGCTGTTTCACGTGTGCGTGATCCTGGCCACACACCTGCAGATGGAAGCCATACTTCTGGACAAGACTCTAAGGAAGGAGTGGCTCATGACCGCCTTCAAGCCCTTCTCTTTCTCTCAGATAGCTGTAGCCGTAATGCTGTGCCTCATCTTCAGCCTCAGCAACATAATTTATTTCTCTGCTGCTCTGTATCGGATTCCTGAGCCAGAATTACATAAAAAAGAAACATGATTCAGACTGTAAGCTTTTTGTGCCAGATGTCAACATTAAGCTGTAACACCCCAACTACCATAAGCCAGTGGCATGGTGCTGGCTTATGATGGCCAAAAACAGTTATAATGATTGGTGTCTTGGCATTTTTGAGTAGGTTTATGTCAAAAAGGCACTTAAATGGAGACATTACTCCAAATGTGCACTGATTCTGTAATGTATGATTTTTAAAAGGGGAACATGAACTCAATCAAGCAAGTTCATATCTCATTAAGTTTTAAGTGTGTTTAAAACAAAGTTTTCAATTCAACTTAAATGACTGAATTAAGCATACTGGCCTTGTAGTTTTTTAAAAATGGAACCTTTATAAATGGCTTCATTTGATGAAATTCATGTAGCAAAGCTTCTTCCAAGAGCCTAGTAGTAGCTTGTCAACTGCGAAAGAATGAGCAGGAAAGATTTTAGGAGGATCTGAGAAACAGGAAGTTGGATCTTTGGGACCCCTGGGGACAGGGTAAACATTCCAGAATGAGAAGGGAATGAACTGTAAAGTCCTTTTCCCACAAGTCCATTCTGTTTTCAAGGTGCAAGTTTGTGGGGGGTTTTAGCCCCTATCTCCTCCTGACCAGTGGGAGAAGCAGGGGAAAGCACGCACGCCCCACAGGCCCTGAAAGGTCGACTGGCACCCAGCCCGCCCTCCCTCGCTGGAGGACAATAGACGTGCCAGGGAGACTAGTCAAAGCAGGATCTCTCGTTTATTGAAGAAGTACACACAGCTTATATACTGCACAGGAGCCAATCAGGATAAAGGTCAGAGGGGTGGAGCGAGTTCACAAGTACACCCATCCCATAGTCCCTAAGGGAAGGCACAAGCTGTCCAGGAGGGCAGAAGAGTCCTGGACCTATCCTGGAGGTGGTCCGCCTTTTCCGGCACCACCCACAGCACCACCTCCTGGCTGATCGCCAGGAGCCATCCCAGCCACATGTGTGGCCCCAACACCGGGAAGCGGGCAGCAAGTCATGCCCTACACAAGTTCCCATGATTTGGAGTATATAGGGTTTTTTTTTTTTCTTCTTTTGTTTGCTTTTTTTTTTTTTTTAAACTCCACAGCCTATAGTGGGATGGCAGGTGTTCTGTTATGTTCTGCCCTCTTGTTGCCATTTTGAGCTGCAAAGTATTATGCAGTACAGGTAAGAAGTATTAAACTATGGAACTGGGTGAGCTAATTCCAATTGGTTGTATTCATCTGTTAACTTTGAAAGCAACAGAAGTGCTATGTTTAGAGATATCATACATTTGATATTTTTTTACATTTCAAATATGCTGCCAAATATATTATTCATATGCAGAGGACGTTAAAAGACCTTGCCAACAAGATGGTCAAATGTCATATCCTCAAGCTTCCGTGAGTCTGAAACCCCAAGGAAGTGTGTGACAAATACAGACTCCTGATGTGAACAACAGGATTCTGCTTTACTAAGTAAATGTAGGTTTTGTAGAGGAAATCTATAGGGCACCACAAGTCCCCAGGTGGTTCTTGTGCAGGAAGGCCAGGGGACAAGCTTGAAGCAAGCTGGCATCACCTCTCCAGAAGGCACTGATTGGCCCTAACAGTTTTGTTTTGGTTAATCTAAGTTTTAGCAACTCACTGCTTGACATCATATCCCCCATTTTCCAGAGTTTTCTACTCTGAATACTATGAAAGTTGTCAGAGTCTTGTGGGTCAATCCTTAGATAAAAATAACAACAACGATTAATAAAGCTGGGAGGTGATGAAGAAGGGGATCTCATGCATGAATCCTGACAACAAAAACTATCACTGAAAACTCTGCCAGAACCACAGCTTTGCACAAACACTACAGCCTTACACAGAAAACACTTCTGCAAGGACCTCTGACTAATACCCGTTCAGCCTTGGACTAATGGCTACTCTTATTATTGATCCTTGTACTCAAGGATTATTATTGCAAAAACAACTTATATAATCCTCATTTTGCCTTTAAAAATGTACCTTTGCCTCAACCTCCTTGAATACACATGTAATCAATGACATGAGTATTCCCATTATAGTGCCCATTCCTGAATAAATTTATTATCTTTGGAGCATTTCTGTTATTTAGGTTGACAGTACTGAAATCAAGCATTTTCTCATTTGTTGAATTACTAATTAAAGTTCAGTATTTTATGGTGTTTTCAGGGAGTACAGAAATGCTGATGCAAAACAATTCTAACAGAGGCTCATCAACCCCTGATCTGCTCTTGGTAATGACTTAAGGGGCCTCCATCACAATGCAGGATCATCTTTACTGACTCAGGAATACCCCCACATCTTATAATACTGCCTTTACCATTAGCTAGTCCAGACACTTCAATGGCCTTATAAATAGTCTAATCCTCTAAGGACAAGTAACAACTTATAGTGGATGCAAGTGGTCAAGAAATATGATTTCATTAGTTTTATTATCAGTTTACTTCCTCTAGGGAAGGCAGATAAAATTATACAGGCTGGTAAATTTTTGTTACATTAATTGCAAACTGCACAAAAAATTTTGCTTTTTGGCAAGAATCTGATATTATTAGTGGAATTCACATCAGCAGTGTCTGTGGGCTTCCATTTCATCTTACTGCAGCTTCAATTTTATAGTGAAAAAAAGTTTAAATATACTTTTTTTAGTAATGTCAGACAAAAATATTTTAAATTCTCTTATTTATAAGTAATAAATAATGTTCTCTGGTTAGGCTTAGAAATAGTTGGAAGATTGTGGGTGATCAGCATGAAGGATTTTTAGATTCTTAATCTTTGCTGGTGTTGCTTTCTCATCATGTGTGATGATGGAAATGAAATATTAAATCAACAGAGCAAGATCGAGTTTGGTTAGTCGTTCTATTGTATACTTTTGAACAGTGCTATCAATTACAATTTCATAACAGTTTCTCAGTACCACACTGATTTTAGAAGATTCTAAAGTGAAATGAAAATGTGTTCACATAGGTTGTCATTATAAAGTAATAGACATTAGATGTCTAACATGGGCAAAGTTTTACCCAAGCCATCCCAGAGTGAAAAATATTGACAGGGAGTCAATTGAAGACTTCACTGACAAGATGTCTTTTAATGCAGCAGTTCTCAATTTTAAAAAATGTCTCAATACACTTGCAATATGTCACATACTCCCATTGGTAACAGCTGTTCACTACATAATGACTCAGGTGACTGTCGGGGGAGGCACACTCCTAATGGGATGCACCTCTTTCTCCGCCCCTTGCATGTTCTAGGATTTTCCAGACATTGCCTTTGTGATGGAGCCTGGATGTTATTGAAATAAGTCACGTAGTCCACTTTACCTTCATTTTCCGTTACTCAGTTTTTAGACAATAACTCTCCATCTTCTTTTGAAGAATTAGTTTGTGATGGTTGGTAGAATATGTAGGAGAATCAGCTTTACTACAGAACTCTGCTCACCTGCAAGGCTCTGAGGAACGTGGGGTGGAGCAGAACGGTACTGTCGGGTACACTCAGGAACCCCTTTGTGTGAATTCCTTGTAAATGAAACACCTATTACCACCCTCTATAATAATACTTTATCGCATTTTAGTTGAATGCCAGCCCCTGATTTTCTAGCCCACAGTCCATCACAGCAAACACCCATTTCCTGACTTGGACATGTTCCCCCCAACTTATGCTGTCTGGTTTTCTTGAACTGTGTGAGAGAAAAATTAAAAGAATATATTTAATATCATAAAGTTGCCTGTTTTCCATTTGATTTGGTTATGTTTCACCTGCTGCACTGAAAATACATTCATCACAAGAAATAGATTCCTATACATGTGTACATTGGTAAATCATCCAACTAAATAGGGCTTGGTACGTATAGTACAGACACTGTCATAGGAACTGAGGAGACAGACGTGAATAAAACCCAAAATTATTTGGGGTAGTTATTTCCCCTTTTCTGTGTATAATTTATATTATATAGCCACTCTTCCCCCAACACACATAATTTCAGACTTAGAAAAGTGTTGCAAGATAATAGAAGATTTCCCAGGTACCTTTCACTCTCCCACCTTTTGATATTAACTCTTTCAACAGTTGAGAAACCCAAACCCATTAGTTGCAAATATATTATTTTCTTGATCCTAGAATGTACTGAATGTTGTTTCAGAATTACTAACCATGTCTATGCCAGAATGCTAGTTCCCTTGGAACTAGCATTCTGGTGAGGCAGTCAGATAAATGGTTAAATTCTGTAAAGAGAATTAGCCTGAGTTGAGGGGACTGGAATAGCAGCTACTTGGGAGGCTGTGGCAGGAGAATTGCAAATTCAAGGCCAGTCTCAGCAACTTAGAACTTGTCTCTTTAAAAGAGGTCTCAAAATAAAAAAGGTCTCAAAATTTAAAAGGGGCGGGGAATATAGCTCAATGTTACAACACCTCTGGGTTCAATCCCCATCTTACTACAAAAACCAAAAAAAAGGAAATAAGCCTGGAGCGGTGGCAGGTGAATTGGATGGCCACTTTGATAAATTGATATCTGAGGAGAGCTCCAGGGGTAGAAGGAGCCAGGCTGGTTAGTGTGGTAGTGGGGGCCTCTTCAAGCAGAAACAGCAGTTAAGTAACAAGGCCCGGAGGCCAACAGGTGATTTTCTTACTGGAAGGATAGAAATTGGGCCAGTTGTTTCTGAAATGTTTAACTCCGGAAGACATTTGGATGACCTGAGTCTTGAAGAATTCTGAAATTTCTCTGAATTTTCTTCCTGAGAGGTTGCCAAAGGGGCTTCCTATGGCTCTTTGTACTGTATGGAATGCTTCAACTCAGTAATAAATGTATCTAGGGCAAGACAATTGTCACTTCTGTTGTCTTCATGTCAAGCAACTGGTTTCTACTACTGGCTCAACTTTTGCTTTCTGTAGAACATAAAAGAAACTCAAAGATCATTCAGTTCAGCCTGTCTAAAATTTTCTGTGTTGTAAAATGCATAGCAAGGCCTGAACATACTGACACATAATATCCAAGGAAGGGGTCCTGAAGTTTGGAATGTTTCAGTAAAAGCACCAGGTGATTTTTAAGATAAGGCAGTTAAGAAGCACTGATATAGCCACTCTTCCTCCAACACACATAATTTCAGACTTAGAAAAGTGTTGCAAGATAACAGAAGATTTTCCAGAGGTCTCTTCCACTTTTTGATATTGTTAATTCAACAGTTGAGAAACCCAAACCCATTAGTTGCAATATATTATTTCCTCGATCCTAGAATGTACTGAATGTTGTTTCAGAATTACTAACCCATGTCTATGCCCTAAGAAGCCTAATAATTAAAATTCAATATATATTTCAAATTCCTTTTGTCTTGAGCCTGAGGGCATATAGTCTAAATAGTCTAAATTATTTGGGGGTAGTTATTTCCCCTTTTCTGTGTATATGATTAATTTGAAATATGGTTCAGAACATTTGTTTATTTTTGTTTGAATTTTACATTCCCTCCCAACCTAATGATTTTATTAAGTGGTTACTTTTGAGTATGTAAACCATAAACATCTAATCACTGGTTGTGCAGATGGCTTAGGGAGAAAAATTCCATAGCCTGGAACAGGAGACAATGTTTCCAAGGCTGTTGGGCAAACAGTGAAGCACAAGTTTGTTGAATGTGTCCCAGTCCCCAGGACAGTGCTGTCTCCATTTTACCAGTTTCCCTCAAACACTCTCTGCTCCAGCAATTTCTCCTCATTGGTGTTTATTAGGTTCTATTTGCTTATCCCACCTTTGGATTAATATAGGTTTCATTCTAGGATCGAGATGGTGTCAGCTCTTTTTCAGTGATTTGTCTAAGACCCTTCAACAAGTTTGGCAGTTTTTTATATAGTTAAACTTATCACAAGCCCCACAATCTTACTCAAAAGAAATAAAATCATGTCTACATAATACCTTTATATAGGTAATTATATATTGGTTTCATTCATAATGATAAAAAATGTGGAACAATCTGAATGCACATCAACTAGTGAGCGGATGAATTGTCAAATCATTCCTACAATGGAATACTACTCAAAACAAAAAGGGGAATACATTACTGAGACATGCAACACAGGAATGAATCTCAAAAACCTTATGCTGAGTGAAAGAAGAGACACTTTGGAAAAAACAAACTATAGTGAAGGGAATCAATAAAGCAGTTGCCAAGATCTGGGAGTAAGAGAAGATTACAAAGGAGCAGTGCAAGTGAGTTTTTTGGTGGGATAGAAATATACAATTGAAGACAGGGGCAGTGGTGCATGCCTGTAATCCCCAGCAGCTGGGGAGGCTAAGACAGGAGAACTGCAAGTGCAAAACCAGCCTCAGCAAAAGCAAGGCACTAAACAACTCAGTGAGACTCTGTCTCTAAATAAAAATACAAAATAGGGCTGGGGATGTGGCTCAGTGGTCGAGTGCCCCTGAGTTCAATCCCACCCCCCAAAAAGAAAGAAATATACAATTGATTGTGGTGGTATATGGTTATAGGATGGTATATATTTGTCAAATACATAGAACAATACAACTAAAAGGGGTGAATTTTACTTTAAAAAGAAGCCTCCCAATTCTTCTACTTCCACTCTCGTGCCCTCATCCCTGGTCTAGATCTCTAATTTGAGAGTGAAATGCAAATCTTTTGCTGGCTCTGGGGAGCCTTTGGCCATTTTGGAATATAGAAATGATATAATGAATTGGTATTTTAAAGAAAATTAATAAACCAAGAGCTTTAATAAGGATAGGAGCTAGGGAGGGAGACCTGTCTGGAAGAAAAGCCCTGGAGGTGGTAAAATGTGACTGTGTCCTCCACTGGAATGTTCTATGAAATTCATCCCTTCAAAACCTGAGTGCAGTACCTACCACTGCTAGGCACTAGGCATACAATGATGCCATCTAGTGAGGTTGTGGGGGTACTTTTGGTAGAAGTCAGAATAAAATTAGGATGTGAACTGCAGAAACAACAGGTGCAGTGAGTAGGGTAGTTGGAAGATCTACAGGAAACTGCTGAAGATGTGGTGTTGTCAGAGGAAAGGAGGGAGGAGAGTGACAGCAGAGAGAATGGAGTGTGAGGACACTGCAGTTCCACGTGGCTGGAGGATACATGGGGTAGGGATGAGTGATGTTCCTGGAAAGGAGGAGCCTCAGGGCCCCTGAGGGTCTGGGGCAATGGGGAATCACTGTGGATGTTACGCAGGGGAACAACATGATCACATCTGCAATTTACAGAGATGAGTGGGATGAAATGGAAACTGATTTGGAAGATGGCAACAGCAAGGCCTAGTAGGGAACAGTCTCCTAACATCATTCAGCAATTCTGTGTCTAGGAATTTATTGTACGTATTTACTTGTATTGTATAAAAGGATGTGTTTCCAAGTTATTCTCTGAAGCTATGTTTGTAATAGCAAATATTGGAACCAGCCTAATGTCCAATAATATAAGCCAAGGATATTAAATCATGACTGTACTTACCAGTGCTGGTTCTGTAGGAATCTGAGAAGGGGCTAGAATTCCTAAGAGCACAGATGTAGATGGATGTTTGATAGTCATCAGCTTAGGGGTAAAGGTTGAAGTGAGATAGAATCAGTCATGTTAAGACAAGAGTAAGTTCTGGTGGTTGCTCCTCAAGGGCCAAATTTTATTCAGTTTTGTATGCCCAGAATCAAGCACAAATCAACTATTTGATAACCTGGGCCTGGGGATGTGGTTCAGTGGTGGAGTGCTTGCATGAAGCCCTGGGTTCCATCCCTAGCACCACAAAACAAAACAAACACAAAAACATTTGATTCTGGGCTGGCTCTGCCTAGTTCACTGAAGGGCACATTCCTCAGTCCACCACCCCAACTTCCAACTTGTTCCTGCTCTGGACTTGGGTGGGCATTCTAAAAAGGGAAAGAAAGCGGGGGAAAAAGGAATTTGATAAACTGATTTATATATAGGAAAGGGCTGGAGGAACCAGGGAGGGAAACCTAGGAAAGGTGGCTAAGAGAAAAGCCAAGACAATGTACTGGCATGGAAGCCTGAGAGACAGCCCGAGTCTTCGAGCAGGGCACAGTCCAATAACAGAATACTCCTGGATCGGGACGACAGTGCTTCCACAGAGCTTCTTGTGATGTCCGAAAGGAAACCTCAGTTTTCTCATAGGAAAACGTAAGGGCTTGGGTTTCAGGACTCACATCTCCTTCCAGCTCGACCACTCACACCCGGCTAGCCCTTTCCGCGTCGTCGTCTAGGAGACGAGCATCACTTCCGGCAGAACTTTCACTTCCTGTGAGGCTCCGCCCCTTTCTCGTGAGCGGGCGCTGATTGGTCCGTTTGAAATGTGCCGGGCGGGAGCTCACCTGGGCTTGCAGCGGCGCCGCCGGGCTTTCCAGAGCGCAGCGCCTGAGAGGCGCAGTACAGCTCCCCGCGGCGTGGCCCTGCTCCCTACAGTCTTCGTCCCCCTGTCAGATAGAGCCTGGTGTCCCGCGCACGCGTTTGGGCAGCACGAAACCTGCTGCCATGAAGCCAGCGTGAGTACGGGACCCGAGAGAGCTCTCGGCGGAGGGGGCCTCGGCCGCGGGGTGGGGACTCCTTGGCTTCTTTCCTGCATCCAGCCCGGCGTCCTGCCACGGCCTCTACGAGGGAGTCTCCGCGTTGGGCCGCTCTGGCGGGCCCGGGCTCTGAGACCCGACTTCCGTCGGCGCCCGGTGTCCACCTCCACCCCTGGCAACCCGCTGCTGGGGAAGGTGGGCCCGAAGT